TTATTTATCTAATTGTCAATTTTTTGTTCTATTGATAAAAATTTTATTCTATTTATCTACACTGATATATACTGTATATGTATAATAAATACTGTAATATATCAACAGGTTATACTACCTGCAAAATAGTTAAGGTTAGGTTTATACTTCATGTTAGCATGTTGGATTAGTTCGAAAAATTGCTAAACACCTAGATGTTACGTAGCATCATTCTTTATCGCAAATTAACAACCAATCAGATTGATTTCATTTGCAGCCAATAAAATAGAACTTTAATAATACTTCCATAATTATTTTGCACAATAGATCCAATGGCCGCTAATAAAGAAGACATAATTAACGCAAAGGTTGCTCTCGATAACAGATTGTTAGGACTGCTTTTCCGGCAAAGCGCGGATCGTGGCCAAGATCGTTATAAAGAAGTAATACCCGAAGCTGTTCCCTTTAGACAGGAAAATATCATTCCACTTCCAGCGCGTTTGCGCGAAATTGTTGAAAGTATCCTTAATGCTTAAATAGTAAACAAACTTTGTAACCGTTAATACACGGTACACTTTCAGTTTTGTAGTTTATAACTGCTCAAGCATGTATGAATCCTTATTATTTGAAAAATAGGCACAACGCACGGAATTCACGTTCTTTTAGGCTGTTTACCTTACATAAACGCGGTGTATTTCGTGGTAAATGACAACTTATTCATTTGGGAATATGATAAAGGGTAAATTATTCTTTGTTTCTCTCATTTTTCGTCTTTATGCGTCTTTGCTCTCGACTTTGCACATATCGTTCTTGATGCTATTTATCAATTTTCATAAATATCGGCTTAAAGTTATCATATCATCCAACTAGAAATAACGATAATGCTATTGCACATATCGATGTACATCCATTACAAGATCAGATCATAAAAAGTGTAGGCCTTGTTAAACCAAGAGCTGGTACGTGTTTCTATTCAGTTTATAGGCTTCAACTTATTATTATTGATAACTTTGGAATATATATATATATATATAATTTTAGGCCGTTTCATTGATAACGCCCATTATGTCTTAGTTATTGCTACAGACAAGGCAATTTACGTGTTTGGTTTCAGCTCAAATCCTGATGGAATAATTTTTCACGATATGTCGTCAGATAGATATCGAACAGATTATAGCAAGAAAGAAATTGGTTCCATAATCGGTACCGATGATGGTCGTATTTTCCTTATAGATGCTGGCGAACTCTGTGAGCTTGTTTACGAGGTAGTTCCGATTACATTGTTTCAAGACTCAGGCCATTAATTTGCATTATTATTAACATCATAGATATTTAATTTAGGATGAAGGTTGGTTTTCAAAACCATGTAGATTAGAAATTCATTCTCAGAGTTCTGTTAGTCAACATTTACGATGGATCTGGCAAACGTCATGTAAGGGCATATAATTTGTTATGATGTGAAGTTGTTATAATTTATGTTTGACTCATTAACATTCGCATTATGATGTTTAAGCGGATTACAAATCTATTGCAATTGATGATACGCGACACATGTTATACGTTATGTCTGCTCATCGTATTGAGGTATAACGATTCATAATATTTATGATGGATAATTATGTATAGTAGTGTAATATTTTATTTACTCTTTCTAATTTTAATTTATTGTAGGCATATTATATACAAAAAGATGCTGCATTGAAATTAATAGGAACATATTCAATTAATGATGATAAATCGATGATGCTTAAAGGTCATTTGGTGTCGATACATTCAATATTGAATACTGATTCGCCTTATTTCTGGCTTCTAGCAGTGACAAATACTGGTAAAATTAATTTATTATTGGTGCATTGGTAAGAGATAAATATCATTATTTAATGTATTTAATACGTAGGACATCGTGGATATTTTACCTGTTATATTGGAAATAGAGGATATAATTGGTGGCTATACTCAGAAACGCCTGCAATGCTAAAAACAAAAGAACCAAATGGTTTATATATACTTGAAGTACATGATCCACCGCCTCAAAATCAGCAACCCATACCTCAACAAACTAGATTAGAATATCAAAAATTCCGTTATTTTCATGGTATTTTCTTTGCACAACGTAGAGAAGGTGGTATAGAAATGTTGTCTACCACATGTCCAAATTATGGTCTAATGTTTAGTAGATTTATTCAGGTATGTCACCTCTAATAAATTAATGCAAGGCGGGGCTTTATGTTCTAAAATTATAGTTTATTTATGTGCTAGAATCAAGAACCAATTTTTTCCGAGCATCATTATACTGCCCCTCTTCCAAGCATCTTCGATATTCAGGAAATTTTTGATCCATTATATGACCCAAAAAAAACAGATGAATATTCAAATGAATTGATAAATCAGTTCAATTCTCCACCTCGAAAATTCATTCTGTATACTTTAAATGGTAATTTTTTTCGTTCAAGGTTTACTCAAAAAAAAAAAACAAGAATTTCCAATTTCGCCATACAATTGTTGCAAGATATTTTAGTTTATTGATTATAACTTGAATTAATCCTTAATAGGAATTATAATTTGGACAAAGCAGCGGCCTATTGATCACTTGGAAAACATGCTAAAAAAAAGTCATAATAGAGAGGCATTAAAATCCTTCATTGAAAAGTATGAACTTTCCATTATATGTGAATTAAGGAAATTTAGCGCTCATAACTAGTCATAACTGTTCTCTTTTTTTTTCCAGCTATGGACCTGAACAAACTACAGCAATGTGTCTATTGATTGCAAGTAATGAAAGTCACGCGTTTATGCAAACTTTTGCAGGTTGGTTAATTAATTATATTTGTAAAAAATTAAATTGTATCTAATTTAAAGTTTTCAATATATATTTATATAAAAATATATCTAGCCTCATATAATACGATATACGAAGGATCTGCTTTTTGCCTGGCAAGGATACTTCGCCCTGTTTGGCGTCAAAGAATTCTCAAACCTAGGTCTGCATGTCACATATTTTGATATGTAATTTGTGTTTATGTAGCAGTAAAGTTATTCACGAACGGATAGTTTTATATGCTATAGAAAATGTTTTTTCTGTCATAACTTAAGTCCGTAATGCTCTTGCTAAAATATTAATAAATTTTAATGAATTTTCACACAGCCCTAGCAATACCAATCCTGATAGACGAGACACGAATATTCCTGAGCCAATACTTAAAAGCATAGTCTCTAAATTAACGAAATTAAAAGAATTTTGCGATAGGTAATGATTTAATAGCTCATTTATTGTCTGTTTTTTCCAAGTTATTCAAGTTAGCCACATTTTAATAGACATCCGATGTTCAAGTCGCCTCCACAAATGCTCGGCGATGCTTCAACTGTATGATGAGAATTCAATAATGCTTCGTACAATTATGTCTATTACATCATAATAAATATTAATAATTTAATAGGCACAAAGCGCATCATTAAGTTCTTTATACGATTTG